AGAGAGAGAGAGAGAGAGAGAGAGAGGGGGATCGCGTGCGGCTGTCGATACGAGATGCAGGCGCGAGCTGTTCGCTAATTCGCGACATTGTGGTGTTGGCGTGCGGCGGCGGCGGCGGAGGCGGCGCGACCACGCTGCACCGCACACACGCCTGGCCCGTGAATGCCTGCCAACATGAGAAGCCGTCAATATTGATAGGCGCGAACGTCTGATAGATGCTAACCTGTACGTGTGCGTGCGTGCCTGAGTGTGCGTGCGTACGTATGTGCATGCGTGCGTGCCTGAGTGTACGTGCGTACGTATGTGCATGCGTGCGTTCGCGCGTGCGTGCGTGAAATGGAGATCGTGAAAATGAGAAGGGGATGTCGTTTAAGTAAGGAAGCGATTAACATAATGGGAAAAAAGGTGTGGGGTAAGAATAGATAGAGCGAGAGCGAGAGAACGGGAGACAGACGAACAAAAGCGAGATCAACATGGAAAAAAGAGGGGAGAGACAGACAGACAGACACGCACGCACGCACTCACATAAACAGACAGAGATAACAGCAGGAGGAACAGTATAATTAACATCATCATCTAGCTATAGATGGCGCATCCCCCTCAGCCTCTACTCCGACTTCACCTCCGACTCACATCTCTACTGCTTGCAGGTATGTTCCTGCTGCCGCCGATCGTGTGCGACCTGTGGGTGAGCATGGACGTGCTCTTCTCCACCGCCTCCATCCTACACCTCTGCTGCATCTCGTTCGACCGATGCCTCTCGCTCAAGTACCCGCTGAAGTACGGACGCAACAAGACCCGCTGTCAGGTGAGAGAGGGGGAGAGGGGCAGATGAAGAGGCGAGAGAGAGAGAAGAAGAGGGAGAGAGAGAGCAAAAAAGAGAGACAGAGAGATGGAGGGGGAGGGGGGGGAGAGAGAGAGAGAGAGAGAGAGAGAGAGAGAGAGAGAGAGAGAGAGAGAGAGAGAGAGAGAGAGAGAGAGAGAGGGCGGGGGGGGCGGGGGGGCGGGGTCGGCGGGGGGGGGGGCGGCTGCAAAATAAGGCAGCGAGGGAGAGACAAGGAAGAGAGAGAGAGAGGGGAGGAGAAAGAGAGCTCCGCTGTGTTGGTCACGCTGCAGCGTCGGCTGGACCACAGCTTGGCTTCATTTTGGTCCGAGTTGGGCACTATTTGGGTCAAAGCTTGGCTAAATTGTGGAGCGACAGATTGGTTTCCTGAGGTCATATCTAGCCTTAATTGTCGAGGGTCTACGATTCTCTCGCTGCTATCACAGCTTGGCTTAATTGAGCGTGCACATCTTGACGTCTTCTGGGAGGTAGGTCATCACATGGTTAATTGGACACACACAGCGTGGCTTCCCCTGGGTGTGGGCAATGTTTCCTTAAGGTTGACAGCATGGCTGAGCACTGAAGATGTGGACGCCCTTTTTATATCTCGGCTTCGTTATTGGTCTTCCTCTGCTTCGTCCTTCACGCTTCTCTCATAGTGGGGCAAGGGACGAGTGTGTATGTATGTTTGTGTGAGGTGCGTGCGTGCGTGCGCTCCTCCCCCCTTTCTCTCTCTTCCTCTCTCTCCTACTGTCTTTCTCTCTCCTCCCCTCTCCTACTCTCTCTTCCCCTCTCTCTAACAAGCTTCTCTCTCTGCACATACGCGCAGGTGGCTGTGAAGATCTGTCTGGTCTGCTTCCTCCCTCCCTTCTTCGCTCTCTCTCTCTCTCCGTCTCCGTCTCCGTCTCCGTCTCCGTCTCCGTCTCCGTCTCCGTCTCCGT